GTTAGGGGTATCATTTTGGGTGTCCCCATACTGTATCTGGGGGTCTATATTAGGATCCCCCTATTTAGGCAAATGACCAAATCTTCTGCATTTGACAACCTCCCCTCTAGAGGGTTGGATTACAAGCTTTGGCTTTTATATCTGGCATTGCAAATGCAGCTGCAGGGATCCAATACAAGCCGCCCAACGCTTTCCACTTCCATGCAAGCTCAGGATTCTGTGACTGGGACGGTCACATGGAACCCGCATAAGTTTCAAGCAGAGAAGTGATCACGTTCACCCCAACACGAAAAAAACTTACATCATTTAATAGTGGAGCTCCAGGTCATTACAGTTTTCTTGTTGTGGTCCTTCTACGACTCTGCTGACTCCAGTAGTTGGGGGTTTACCAGAAAACCCCCCTTCACGAGTGCCCCTTGATGATCATGCGCTTGGTGGCCTAGGGTCCCTATAGGTATAGTCAGAGCATGGGAGATGGACGCTCGTGGAGCTTCTTACTCATTACCGCTGTCGAACGTTTCCACACCTTTGCGATCACAAAAGCACTCACGGTGAGATGGTTACAGGACATGATTGCTAGATTCAGAACCGCATGAAGTTGCCTCTAGGAAGATGTATATACCCCTTGCAAGCACATGCTTCATGCCCCACCCCCATCGAAAACCTACCCTTCGATTCTTGGTGGACGATTGCCCGTACAAATGTCAAAAGGGCATACATAGCGGTTCCATGCTAGTTTGTTCTCCTGTAATTAACACCCTGAGCCTTCAGAAACTGCAATCTATTTGAATATATATTTGCATAACCGAAGATTTCATGTGACTCCTCACCCAGGGAACAACATCCACAGCTACAAACCCTGAACAACCGCCACAAAGGGTCTGTCCCTTTGCAATGCTTGTGTGACCCACGGAAAACAGCACAAGTCTTACAATGCCCTTTGCAAGGCAGGATGTACAATTCTGGTCCGGCTACTCGAAAAATCTAAGCCACTTTCGAACCCTGAATACCCCTACCAAGGACATAGCCCAGAGCATAGATGAGATCCAAAACCCTGACCTCTAAGCAATCTATGAGCTTGTGTCAAACGTGTCCGGTTTCATACAGGTTTGGTAGCTTCCCAAAATGGGGGACCCCAATATAGACCCTAGATACTATAATCCTTATTATCCCAAAAGACAGTATTTTCGGAAGCTCCCATTTGGTAATATACTATGAACATCCACGTCGTGCCGAATCGCTGCACAATTCTTTAGATAGCGCAGCCTCACAATTAACTAAGGGAACCTGTCTTTGAAGAACAACCTCGTGCAGCCGCTACTTGAGGATTGGGGGGTGCAGTTTTTCTATTCCTTACCAAAGGCCCCTGACCCTATCAGTAACCCTACCAAAAACCGTTTCCATTTCATTGTCTTTCCTTCTCCATCTGATTCTCCCTTCCCTACCCTACACCCTAAACCCTCAGTAGTAATTTCCAGTCAATTTTCCATGCGTGTTCTTTTGATTCTCCACGACTGGTCTCTATGCAGTCGGGCGACGGATTGGCCAATGGCTCCAATAAAATGGCGCTGCCCCAGCTCAAACCAGTTCTCCTAGGTTTACTTACTTGTTGTGAGATAGGGGGGATATAGAGGGATGTTGTGGCATACAAGGGGATATCAGGCTAATGGTAAAGAAATGGAAACTACTATTTAGGGCTTAGGGGTTAGCTTAGTTGGCAGGGCATGGAGAAGTCACTTAGACTTGCCTATGTAACAAATCAAAACTGGGGTCCCTGGGGACATGTAGGGTTGGGGTTTACGATTAATTTGCTGGTTAGTAGCACGGAATGAAGGAAGGGAAACAGAAAATTACCCGAAAATGAATGTAGAGTCCTTTTTGCACTGGCTTCGGGGGAGTTCTACAAATGCCCTTGAAAATGTGTTTTATTGGAAGGTCTAGGCGGGCTTCAAAGCTTGATGCCGGAGAGCGTCTTATTTTGGGATTGCATCAGGTGCGTACACATACACCCAAAAAGCATGGTAGCTTCCATTCATAGGAAGACACCTTATATACATACCCAGAAATGTTGCAATCCTTGAGGAAGCCTCAAAACGGCACGTCTAATTCTGGAAACCCTACTCCCCATAAACAGACAATCATTATTATTGCGGTGACATACACCCCCAAGGTATCCCTACTTTTGGATATATGCACACATTCGAAGAATCTTGCCCTTGACTGATGGTCGTCAGAACCAGACCAGACATGATTATGGGTTTAGGGATTGGGGTTTAGGATTTGGGGCAGTTGTGCATGTATGGTTTTGGTGCGTACGATGCACTGTATGTTGGGCGATGGGAAAGGGTTATTGGTAAGCATCCAGCTTTGTGCACGGGCTGGTGGTGGGAAGACAAAGCTGGTGGTAAGCTTGACTATGAAGATATTTCAGGCACACAACGTGCCACGTAAAAGACCGAATTGAGCAAGATCTGCGTGAGCTAGCTCTTCACGGTTTGCCTTATTTTGGCTTCAACCTACAAGTGCTTTTACTCGCTGCATTAGCTGACCACCAAATTCACTCGTTCAAGGTCCCCGTCAGTTCTCTTGGGAGGGTTACCTATCGGATTAGGATTAGACGGCATTGCAAGCTTCATTCTCCAGACAAATTTCCTTTCAAAACATCGCAAGTCCAAGCTCATTTGGGGGTTTCCCCGAAATTAGGGGTACGTTTGTGGGGGTCCCCATTAGAATGATTCAAGTATTCTGGGGTCCACATTGGGGTCCCCCTATTTTGGGACACTACCATTTGCCATATTTTGCCATGTTTGCCATGAAAGCCTCGTGCCTCGCTCACGGGGTCCCAATCCAGGCAGTGGAGCTGCAACCTCAGCTTTGTGAGGTTATTTCGGCAAGCTGGTAGGGCAGAGTTCCAGACTTGCTTCTGCTAGGGGGTTAGTATATGGGGAATAAGGGGTAGGGGCTGTATATAGGGATAATGGAAAAGAAAAATGGAAACTACTATATAATAAGAGGGCATTCTGACACGAGTTGGATGCATGGGGTCCTCACATGTGTTGATGTGTTTGGACTTAGGGCAGTGGCCAATCACTGTTGCTTGCACTGTCCACCTGGCTTCCAGACACACAAAAAAGCGCATGGCGTTCCATGAGGTGCAAGCCACAGTGGGATAATGGAAAAGAACATGGAAACTACTAGAATATATAGGGATTCTATTATAATATAGGGATTCTAGTAGGGATAATAGTAGGGATAATGGAAAACAAAATGGAAACTATAGGGGCTAGAGGATACCCTGTCCCTTGTGCCAGGCTGATGCCCGGCTCGACAGTACCAACACTCAACGCTGGTCATTAAACGACCAAGAATATGGCACACTGCATGTTTGCACCCGCCGCATGCTAAACCCTGCACCCCGCCCAACATCTAGGGAGACCCTCCTCTAAAAGGGGATATAGGGGCTACATAGGGATATTATAAGGTTGTATAGGGGTTGTAATAATTGAAAAATAGAAATACTTCTGGACTTCAACTACCTCAGACTGCGCCTTGGGCCCCACGGAACATCGGACAACGCAGCCACTGCCGGCCTGCAGCACTCAATATTCCAGGAAACCACATACAACCAGGGCCTGAATATGATTGTGTGGTCCCTTTAGAAGGGTTACAGGGTTTAGGGTTTACGGGGTGTAGGGTTTACAGGGGTGCAGGGTCAGAGGCCTACAATATTACCAAGAATGGTAGATCAAACGGGAAAGAAAGTGGCAAAAATCAAACGGATACTGGTTCCCTTCGCTCGTTTCTTGAAAGGTATTTGGGGCATTTGGAAATGAAAAGCCCAAACCAACCACAACACCCTCCCTTTGAGGGTATATGTGGGGATTGGGCTACGGATTCAGGTGCCCAAATGTAACTGCCCATAGTAGAGAAACCCTCGACGGCTCGGCTGCTTGCACGGGCCAGCCAATCAAACTACTACTATGATTAAAATTATTATACTGTAATTTCTATTCTCATTACGCTTGTTATTATTACTATTTACCAAATGGACACCAGACGGACCCATTAGCCATGATCTGGTATATCTCAAGTTGTTTTGCCCTGGTCCTAGACGGAAGATGCTACGGAGTAATAAGAATAGTAGTAATGGCAATAGTAAAACTTAATGATAGTGATAATAGTAGTACTAATAATAGCAATGATAAGAACATCAAGAGTAGTAGTGATGGTTATATAGTCCCCCTGAAGTAGATAGAATATGGCTTTGGGTCTAACATAATAAGATCTCCATCTACCCCCTATTCTATCTACTTAAGGGGGACTATGGTAGTAATGAAAAGCGGTGATTACAGCAGAACCCTAAACCCTAAACCCTGTTCTTCGAGCGGCCTCCCGGATGATCAAGCCATCGATGGAGGTCAGGAACCAGGGCACTACTAGACCTCGGCAACATGAGGGTTTCCCAAAATTAGGGGTACCTTTAAAGGGGGTTAACACTATTTAGGGATATGTAGTGTTGAGGGATTAGGGGTTCCCAAAATTAGTGGTACCTACTAGAATGAAGAATCAAATGGAAAAGACAATGGAAAATGAAATGGAAACTGGGAATATCTGGTGGATTATAGGGGTTAGTGTTTCCCAAAATTAAGTGTACCTTTTTGGGAGTCCCCATATTAAGGACTATAATATCTTTGGGTCTACATTGGGGTCCCCTTTTTTGGGGAATCTACCACATGAGCTAATGCGAACATTCAGGCTTGTTGCGCACCTTCACATGCTGATAGGCCAACAACGCGTCCTGTCTTACAGGCCTGAAGGCACAGTAAGAGCAGTTTTGAGGCCATGGCTGCACATACACTATACAAAGTTTCTCGGTTGGCGACCATCAGCTTCTGCATCAAAGCCAGGAGGGACCTGGCTTCAGCAGCAAAACGTGATGAAATAGATGCCTGCCTTCTCATCTTGATACACGTACACAGACACACACGCGCACACACACACACCTCAAGCACCTCAACACTCACAGCAGAGATCATGAGCCTCAAGGTGGTCCTCTTCAATGGGGTGCCCATCGATTTTCGGCGAACTGTGGAAAATGTCCTCGGCCTGCTCGATTCCAAGCTGACATGCTGACCATGATCATGTGGGGGCTTCCCAAAATTAAGCGTGCTTGTTGGGAACTCTCATACCTTATTTTAATATTTGGGGGTCTATATTAGGGCCCCCTATTTTGCGAAACTGCCATTTCTTGAAGCATGAAGCAGATTGCACGCTGCAGAGCTGCCAACGTGCTCCAAACATCCCCTACCTGGATGTGAAAGGTGCAGGGAGTTGTATTCCTGCAGCAGGATAATCAGTGGTCCAGCAGTGATTAAAACCCTAAACCCTAAACCCTGAACCCAATATAACCCTATATATATATATATGTATATATACACCCTATTATAATATTAGCAGCTCCGCCTCAACCGAACCACTTCGCAAACCACCTGAGGATGCAGCCGACTTGGGCCACAGCTCCGCTACATGTATTTGGATGTGCCAGGTTTACCATATTCCTATATATGCATGTACATATAGCAGTTTCCATTTGATTTCCATTATCTCAATAAAACCCTACATATATATATATACACCCTATTATAACATTAGTAGATACCCCCTTCCAAGCACGTGGATTGCTGTTCTCAGGACAGTGCCATGCTGGCTCCAGTCAGGCTCTTCGCATGGCAGCAAGGCGTTTAGGGAGGGCGATTCGCACAGCCGCAACGCTCTCTGAATCCCGATCTGGGTCTACATGAACAACACATGCTGAACTCTGCAATCCTGCTGATGTTGGGGGGCATAGACATGCTAAAAACTGTGCTAGAGCAGTCTCTTGCAGACATCGGTAGCTCCATTGAATCATTAAGCGAGGATAAGAGACTCTACTGTTTCTGAACACAGGGAGACCGCGCAAGCTTTGGCGCGGCCTTGCCTTTTCAGAAGGGCTGCAGCCATGGAAGGACGCCAGGAAAGCTTGCAAGGGCACCGCAGGCTTCGCTTCGCTTTTCACTATTCCAAGATCACCTGCATGTCAGATGCCGCGCAGAACCAATCATTCTACCCGAAAGCATGTTTCATGCAAGTGCTGCGATGGATCATAACAATACGAGTCCTCTCGTCTTCAACTAGTAACGTATCCTACCTGTGTTGGAGGGATAGCACATCTGGCTTCTCAACGAGTCTTCCACGTTGTCGCTTTTCCTACGTGTTAACAAATCTTCAATGCTGACGATAGCCGACCTGTCGGCCAGCCCAGCTTAACTTTGCACCATGCACTATTGGCACGATGGGCGCTAGAAATATGGGAGTTTCCCTAAATTAGTGTACCTTTTTGGGACTCCCTATAATAAGGACCAGAGTATATTTGGGTATATATTGGGGTAACCCTAAACCCTAAACCCTAAAGACTATAGTATATTTGGGTATATATTGGGGTAAAACCCTAAACCCTAAACCCCAAAGACTATAGTATATTTGGGTATATATTGGGGTCCCCTTATTTTGGGAAATTACCATATGACTGGCAGCACTGCCAGGCCTCTTAGCAAGCAAACGCATAGCCTTGGATGCGCAGAGACAGGGAACCTCTGAGATTCTTCCCGATATTTCTATATAAACTCTGTACTCTAAGGGATTTGGAACCCCAGTAGAAATTTTAATTTCAGCTAAATATTAGGATTGTTGGTAACAGAAATTAAAAATGATTTTCAGGAACCTTGTAGTGATATCTTAGGGACCCTAAAGGCTAACCCTAAGTGGGCACAGGCACACGGTTTAGGTTTCAGGGA